AAAAAAAAGATTTAATTTCCGAAACTATTCGGAAAAATAAGATTTATAATGAATGAGGAAACGTAACATTTGATGAATCATCATTATAATCGTCAATAAATAACTCGTCAAATTACCATCTAATTACAGATAACCCAAGATATCCCAGCATACCTTTGTGCTTACTGATGGTATAGTTTGTACAAATCCAGGTAGTGTTACCCTTTGTATCATACTCTCCCTCRTTATACCACTGACCAGTGGGTTTGAACAGCAGGCTCTTGTTTTTAAAGATGGTGTATTCCTTATCGACCACTGCCAGCATGGAGTGATTGCACAGTACGGTGAATAATGATCTGTTTAGAAAAAGAATTACTCAATATTCAAAACTTTTTATCACTTTTACTTTAATTTATGGCATTACTCAAGGAGAGGCCAGTTTTATTCAGTGCAGACAATAGACCTCTGCAGCTTTTACGTCATGTACCGTATACGCAATGCATTGTAGGACATGTTTGGGACARAACATGVYKGATTTCTTTTGTTTTCTCTTGAAACTGATCCCACAATGCATTGAAAATCAAGTAGTGACGTAAAAGGTTCAGAACTCTTTTGCTGGGAACTATAACAGTATGGTCTTAGCTTTGATGACGTAACCTTTTTGAACCCAACTACGCTTTTTTAAGATTAGGTATATATATATATATCAGTATTTTTTTTGTTCTCTGTTATAAATGATAAAGGACTGAACTCGCTAGAGACTTGAACCGTTATTAAAATTAATAATTAAAATTATTTTTGTGAGGACCTTCTGACTGACCAGCGAACCAAGTTGAACTTCCCCCTAAAGTTGCACAGCTTTAAGTTGGACTTCAAACCCGGACGTTCTCCTTGCTTCAGTTCCAGTCAGCTTATCTCACTCGTCTTGTGTCAGGTTACAATATACAGATGTGGTTGTATTACACACAATGCTATTTATACACAACTTAGAGAACAGGTTATTGCCCATGTTTATTCAAGATAACCCACAAGTAGGTAGATCAGTACAGTATATGTGAAGCACATGATGGACAAGCAAAAAGATACTAACTATAAAACTAAGTTAAAGATTTACTCGGAAATCATAATTATTTGATTAGATTAAAATATGTCCCGAAACATAAACATAGGAGATCTTCATTGGTAGACTAGTAGACAACCCCCCCTGACGTTGCAAATATTACGTCATTTTGCCTGAATATTACACTTGTTGATGCAATGACTGATAATAATATAATTGCACTATTTATGCGGCAGTGTGTTCTATATATTTAAATAAGCGATAAGATACTAGTCTAAAAGTGTTTTCGAATAAATATTATTAAAAATACATATTTTTGAGTTATATGACTGAATCATGTCACTAAACTAGACTCGTACTAAAATAATTATAGTGCAACTGTATGCCACTTTTTGAGGCGAACAAACACGAGATAAAACAGACTTCTACTTGTTTGCTGTCTTATTTGCAGTCGATGTTTCTAGTTTTTTACTTTTCTGCCTGAGGACTGGCAGCCTGTCTACTAAAAAGCCACAAAAAAACAACAACAACACAGCAGTTTCAACACAGCAGTTTCAACACAGAAGACAAACAAACAAACAAACAAACAAACAAAAAAAAAGAGAAACACTGACGCTAAACTTGAATAGGTCGAACAACGACAATTGCTTTTTTGGCTTGCATTTCTTTGCCTGCAGAAGCCGTGTTGAAACAATTTATCATTGAATGGAGAAGAATTTTAAGACTACAATATCTCACTAACATAAATGACTGGTCGATTTTACTACACAATATGCGGGAAGCAAGTTTTCAATTTCACAGAGATGTCAAAATGTCTTTCTTTCTCAGTTTGATTGCCTCATAATGAGCTGACAATAATTTGGTTATTTCTTCACAGAGAGTTTTCCACCTTTCGCCATGTTCTTCTACGCTGATCCTGTCTGGATGGTAGTATGTTATAGCTTTCTTAAACAAATCTTCGGCTTCCTTCAAGTCATCTCGTGAATCTGAATCTGTATTTATTCCTTTCCAACTTCCCATCTCTTCATCAGTTGGTTTTTTCCATGTTGGATGTGTGGGAGGAAAAGACTTGTACACATAGGTGAGAAACGCTATTTCTCCCGTGTTGTTTTTCTTTAGATTTTCCAGCTCTGCTTTAATAACTTCCAGCTTTTTTTCTCTCTCTTTTTGTTCTTCTTTGTCATTCATTCGTTCTTTTATCTGGAATTCCTGTAAAGTCGAGACGATTTCCTGGTACCACGGTTGAGTGAAAAAGGTGCGAGGTTTCATGGACTCTACCAACTCAAAACTCTTCTTGTAATACGTCTTAGACCTCTGCCTTAGTTTCAAGACTTTATTGTAGNACGTCAAATAATTCACAAAGAATACCCTTTCTATTGAATGGTCAGTAGAAGCGTAGTCAGCGTTTTTTACTTTATAGTAAGCCTAATAATGTTGGGTTTGTCCCGTCCTAATTGGTTCTTTTACTTTCCCCAATGAAGTTACTAGTATTAGGGAACTTTAGATTTGACGAGTTCCAGATCGAGTACGAGTATTAAGAGTCCACACCATTCCAGTACCTAACTCATTATTCAACTACTAGAGCATTAGGTAACTATATAGATTTGACAACGAGTTCGGGATTGAGTTCGAGTAAGAGTCGAACTCAATATACAACATTATTATTACATCAATTTTCATCAAATGTAATCATATGACAATCCATATTTAATGCAACTATTTAATAGATACTGTCCACATTTATTTACAATGATATCTACAATTTCTATTGCTGTTCACTTGATTTTTATGATTACTATGAACTATAAATAGAAACGCGAAAAATGTAATCATGAATAATATTTAAGGCTCGACCCATGCCCTTTTGTAGCCTCGGAAGGAAACAGCAGAGAAGGGCATGGGCAGAGCGATTTTGAAAACATGTTGCCGTAGTATTTGTAGTCATTTCATTATTGCGAGTGTGTATTTTCTAGATTTATTCCTATAATATTGTTTTCATATTAAACACTGACTCGATCATCTTACTCTGATCTAATGCTATGCCAGCTGGCCATCCAAGAAGTCGCGTGCTCCCTTGTGCAAGACCTCTGAAGCTTTTACGTCATAAACCGTATACGCAATGCATTGTAGGATATCTTTGCAACCAAAAACATGGCGGATCTTGTTTTCTCCAGAAATTGATCCCACAATGCATTGCAAACCACGTAGGTGATGTAAAAGCTTTAGCAGTCTATTGAAACTTTCAACAGTATGAATTATGAGAGCAAGGAAATTTCCATGCAATTCAATTATTTATCAAGAATTTTTCTTTTTTTAATCAACCGTTCAAAATTGACGGGCGATTAGTGAAAACAAGGGAGAGGAAACTGGGTACGAGATGGAGTGACCCTCGTTCGCATGCTTGCTTGGACGGAAGCATAGTAGAAATTATTTCGACTATTGTTATTCCTACAGTGTAACTTGAACTGTTTAGATTTGAGTGTCGTCTTTAGGTGACGACATATACTTATTATAAGGCGTAGTGTCCGCCATTGTCGACATTGTCCCCTTTGTCACTCGGCGTGATGAAGAGGAAGACGAAGAAGGCCTTCGGTTTTCAAGCGGTAATTTTGCCTTGATCATGCGCAAAACTTTGGTTTTAAACACAAAGGCCAGAAAAATATAAAGCCCCTGTAAAGTGGTGAAGAAGACGAACGGRTACATGAGACCGTCATGGATAAGCGGGGCACTGATCGCAAAGAACCACGAGAAACCCATCAAGGAAGTTAAGCGCATGTAGATCTTGACTACAGCAGGTCGTGTGTAATGATTGGACTTGACACGCTGTCCGTGTTTTCTAGCACTGGAATTAAAGCAAAATGAAAAACATCACGAGGGTTTTTTATACAATATGTTCTCATCCGTGGGTTTTAAGAGTCAATCTTTACAAAACATATACTCATATAGCATAAAGGAATAATAAAAAGTAAGTTTTTGTTTATACTACGATATCGAAAAGTGTGTTGACCCTGTAAGTGAAATGTGACAACAGCCCTACCTGTTGATCGCGTAGACAGTCTGCGAGAAAGCCACAACGTTGTAAACAAGCACTAAYCCGAYAGGAGTAGCGAACACGATGAGTAAAGCAGTCGGGTTACCTATCCAACATGCCAACCCTTTGCCGTAACCAATGTTAACAACATCTAGGCCRTCAAGGATTGCRCATATYGTRACGAAGATTAAAGGRATWCCCCAGGATATCAACAAATAAACAGCTAGTCGCCTGTTCTGGAAGTACCCGCCAAGTCCATGAGCTTTGCCTGTCTTAGCAGAGAAAGTACGCCTGAAATAGTGAAAGAAAGTGCGTCACAGGCAGCCCAACCATTACTTAAACAACATTCATCTTTACAACATGTGAGTGTGTRAAAAAKAGTTTCCTTCTATGACGTCATCTACATTCATGACCAGAATCCTTTGTGTTCGTTATAATTCGAATGCGCTATAATTATTAGTGAACGATCGTTAACATTTTTCTTTTCAAAAATGAAACTCTAACGTAACAATTAAACAGATCATCTTGAGAAAGATTTCATTTGCTAGTCAATATAAAACAGCTTTTAAAAGTTTAAATTATAAAGTAACGTTTTCAAGCGCAAGCGAAATCGCAAGGAAAATCAAAATTGTAATCACTGGCAAAATCACAGGTKAAATTACAAGAAAAATTACAAGCGAAAGATAGGGAAGTATCAACATTAACATCAACACAAAATCATCATCGTTATTGCATAATTCATCATTATCATCAACATCATCATTAACAGTCTCCAGTCCCACGTGACTGACGGCAAACCATTCAGTGTCTCACCTTGTATCATAAGCCACAATGAAAGTACATCCAAACGTAACCAAAAACAGGTAATGTAAAAAGCACCCAGTGAACCTACAAAAAACTGGTTTATCTGTATCCCCGGAACCGAGTAAGTACCAGAAATGCGCCAGAAACAGAGACAACGACAGGCTCATGAGGTTTTTCCCGGGCAGCGGCGCTCTTAGATCACGGAGTATCCCATGAGTCAAAAGAACGAGGAAGAGGGATATCACTGAGATAGAGAGACCAACGATTGTCATGTAGCGGCGTATAGTGAAGTGAATATCAGTTTTGAACTTGAATTTGTCTGGAGTATCTGTGGAGTTGTCTTTTGAATCTGTGCAGAAAAATCCAAAAAATGGCATTATTTTCTCATTCTTTTTATCATCATTATCAAAATTCCTACCACAAGGACTTATCAAAATTATTAAAGTACATGATGAGGCCCGAAATAGCTATCGCATGTCACGCTTGCTCCTCTTGTTTTAATGTTTTAAGTCCTCATGCAGTAACAGTCATTCACGCATATTCATATTCACAAGATTTCGTTGTTTTGGATAACAATTCCTCAAGTATTGCAGGATTTATTATTAGTATTGGAGAGTGAATAAAAAAAAAGATTTAATTTCCGAAACTATTCGGAAAAATAAGATTTATAATGAATGAGGAAACGTAACATTTGATGAATCATCATTATAATCGTCAATAAATAACTCGTCAAATTACCATCTAATTACAGATAACCCAAGATATCCCAGCATACCTTTGTGCTTACTGATGGTATAGTTTGTACAAATCCAGGTAGTGTTACCCTTTGTATCATACTCTCCCTCRTTATACCACTGACCAGTGGGTTTGAACAGCAGGCTCTTGTTTTTAAAGATGGTGTATTCCTTATCGACCACTGCCAGCATGGAGTGATTGCACAGTACGGTGAATAATGATCTGTTTAGAAAAAGAATTACTCAATATTCAAAACTTTTTATCACTTTTACTTTAATTTATGGCATTACTCAAGGAGAGGCCAGTTTTATTCAGTGCAGACAATAGACCTCTGCAGCTTTTACGTCATGTACCGTATACGCAATGCATTGTAGGACATGTTTGGGACAGAACATGGCGGATTTCTTTTGTTTTCTCTTGAAACTGATCCCACAATGCATTGAAAATCAAGTAGTGACGTAAAAGGTTCAGAACTCTTTTGCTGGGAACTATAACAGTATGGTCTTAGCTTTGATGACGTAACCTTTTTGAACCCAACTACGCTTTTTTAAGATTAGGTATATATATATATATCAGTATTTTTTTTGTTCTCTGTTATAAATGATAAAGGACTGAACTCGCTAGAGACTTGAACCGTTATTAAAATTAATAATTAAAATTATTTTTGTGAGGACCTTCTGACTGACATGAGCGAACCGAGTTGAACTTCCCCCTAAAGTTGCACAGCTTTTTAAAGTTAAAAGTTGGACTTCAAACCCGGACGTCAGCTTATCTCACTCGTCTTGTGTCAGGGTACAATTATTTACCAAATTCAATAATAATTCATAAAAACAATGGAAAATCATTGCTGTGACCGCATCTTTATTTTAGCAAGAGATATGTCCTGATTTACATACGACTTAAACTTCAATTTTCTCTTACAAATGATATTCTATCTTGAAGTTTTTTGCAAAATATAGATTTGCATACGACTTTAACTTCGATTGTCTCTTAAAAATAATATCTATCTTGAAGTTTTTTGCAGAATATAGAGTAGCTTATGTTGGATATTTGATAAGCAATGTGATATATTCGCGTCCGACCTTTATGGGCTTTAAAACTGCTCGCTTGCAGTTCGTAGTTTTAAATGCCCATAAAGATCTCGCTCATATTTTATGTTTTATATATTACTTAAGATATTTTACCGGAAACTAAAACACTCGTATTTTAAATATTTTCACTGGTGAAGCTTTGAAAAAGTTATGTACCAAAATGTTCCGGATGTACGCGCGCGTCAAATAAAAACAACTTTCCCGCTCATTTCTACTTGTCACTTTAGTTTGTCCATTTAATAAAAAGAACATTACATGTCGGCTTGAAGATATGAACTTTATTTTATTTATTTATGTTTTTTCATTGAAAACAAAATTCATATCTTCGCGCCACCGTTTAAAACCCTCTATATCTTCAATTCGAGTGATACAAAACTGCACTAGACTCATACTGAAATAATTAGTACAACTGTATGTCACTTTTTGTGGAGAACAAACACGAGATACAACAAGACTTCAAATTGTTTTGAAACACTGAAACATCTCTTCACACGGATTGCTTTTTCAGTTTGATTGTTTCATAATGAGCTGACAACAATTTGGTTATTTCTTCACAGAGTGTTTTCCACTTTTCGCCATGTTCTTCTACGCTGATCCTGTCCGGATGGTAGTATGTTATAGCTTTCTTGAACAAAGCTTCGACTTTCTCCATCTTATCTGAATCTGAATCTATTCCCTTCCAACTTCCGATCTCTTCATCAGTTGGTTTTTCCCACTTTGGATGTGTGGGAGGAAAAGACTTGTAGACGTAGATGAGAAACGCTATTTTCCCTGTGTTATTTTTCTGCAGATTTTGCATCTCTTCTTTAATCGCTTCCAGCCTTTTTTCTCTTTCCTTTTGTTGTTCTTTTTCATCATAATTTCGTTCTTCTATCTGGAATTCCTGTAAAGTCGAGACGATTTCCTGATACCACGGTTGAGTGAAAAAGGTGCGAGGTTTCATGGACTCAACCAACTCAAAACTCTTCTTATAATACGTCTTAGATCTCTGCCTTAGTTTCAAGACTTTATTGTAGACGTGGCCAAGCCGGCCAAGTGCAATGGCTTCCTGCTCGAGGTCAAGCTCTCTGGCGAGGATGACAGCTCTCTTGTACCAATCTATCACATCCCAGACGATATCCATGTTCAGATTTTCTTCTTCTTTCAACGCTGTTTCCAGCAGCTCCGAGCCACAATATCGAGCTTGGACCGATTCGGCAGTGCATGTTGTGTAGAACACATCTTTTTCTAACACGCTGATCTCGGAGTCTTCGTAATCAGAGTTGCCAGAAAGTCGCTTTGCTTCCTGTATGGGGTAATAACAGTCCCTCATTCGACTCAAACACCGCGCGAAGTCGCCATCGGCATGTATCTTATTCACACCATCGTGAAAATACGAGTTTCCAATCTTGAGATGCAGTCGAACGATGAAAACGTTCACATGTAGAATGTCGATCATGGGCATTAGGGTTTTGATTCGCTCGTCGAGGTCTTCAATCTCGTCGCTTGCGTCAAGAAATCCTTCAATACATAAAGCCAATGACTGCCAAATATCGGCTTTCCATTCTTCACTTTTGCAGTCTTCTCCTCTAGTTAGTGACACATCGAAGGCTTTTATGGCTTCCCTCAGATGAAAAAATACAAGGACTCTCCCCTCGTTTCTTTCTCTGAAAAGTTGACCAAGTTTCCAATTTGCTTTTGCGAGGTTCTTGGAAGCTGAAGCCAGTTCGTCGTGGTTAAAAGCAAGGTTTTGCGCTCGATTGTAACAACGAATAGCATCTTGTAATCTGCCTTTCTTTAGAGCATAACCAATGCCTTCATTTTCAGACTTTTCAAGAAAATGATTCCCTTTAATTCTCTCAGTTTTACTAGCACTAGTAGCCATTATCTGTCTGAATTTATGTACGATAAACCGATTTGTTTCCGCCGGGAAGCGTTTTTCAAGCGACGAAGCAGTTTTTACTTTCACTTTCACTTCTATAACCTGTACTTCAAATTGCATATAAAAATCTATGCTTGAATGAATTTTGACCTAGACTTGCCAGAAGTTGACTGATTACCATTTTTTTTTGAGAAAAAAAAGTTTATAAAACAAGCTCAAAATGACCATCGGATTTGAACTTCCTGTGTTCAGACTGTCACGCAATATGTCACGCAAAGAATGGCATTATACTGATTATACTTCATAAGGGATCCGAATAATCTAAAAACAAGAATAATTTGAAAAATAAAAAAATATTTTTTCATTGCCTAATAATGTTATTTTCATCTAACACCGGAAGTAACGTCATCTTATTGACCAACGCACGCGCACACAAAACGCGGGAAAATAAACCCATATCGGGTGTCGAGTTTCACGTCCACATGTGCGAAATTGACAACATGGCCGCTTCCAGCAGCAAAGAAGAGAGATGTAAAGGCAATGATCACTTCAAACAAGCAGAGGCTTACGGTATTGGGTACACGCTAAAGAAAGGCAGATTACAAGACGCCATAGAGTACTACAAGAGAGCGCAAAGCCTTGCTTCAAACAAAGACGAACTCGCCTCGGCGTCCAAGAACCTCGCCAAAGCGAGTTGGAAGCTCGCTCAACTCTTCAGAGAAACAAGCGATGGAAATGTACTCGTGTTCTTTCATTTAAGAACAGCTATAAAAGCATTTGA